TCAGGGACCGCCTATTCAGGGACCGCCTATTCAGGGACCGCCTATTCAGGGACCGCCTATTCAGGGACCGCCTATTCAGGGACCGCCTATTCAGGGACCACCTATTCAGGGACCACCTATTCAAGGACCACATATTCAAGGACCACCTGCTCAAGGACCACCTGCTCAAGGACCGCATGTTCAAGGACCGCATGTTCAGGGACCGCCTATTCAAGGGCCGCCTATTCAAGGGCCACCTGTTCAGGGACCGCCAGTTCAGGGACCACCTGTTCAGGGACCACCTGCTCAGGGACCATCTGCTCAAGGACCACCGGTTCAGGGACCATCTGCTCAGGGACCGCCAGTTCAGGGACCAATCATTCCAAGAGTAATTTCCAAGGTAATTGACAGCACGCAATACATGCATGATCACTATGATGAATATTACCCTCGAGATATACTTCACCGGATGAGAAATTGGGGCGGAGTGAGCCCAAGCAGTTTGCATTCTGCTCTGGCTCCAGGTCAACTTGAGCAGATACCTAGGGCTCCGCCTACGCTACCCAAGCCAGCGCCAGCCCAAGTGGAACCAGCAAAGAAGGGAAAAGCGAAAGCGACGAAGAGGAAGAGGGCTACGGAACCGGAGAATTCGGAACCACCAGCACGCTCAGCATCACCAAGACGCTCAGCGCGCACACCACGGCCACCAGCATCAGCAGGAGCTGCAGCAGAGGAAGCAGCACCCAAACGATCGGCAGTACCGAAACGCTCAGCAGCACCAAAAAGCTCAGCAGCACCAAAAAGCTCAGCGGCACCAAAACGGTCGACACGCTCAGTACGATCATTAGCATCAACGGGGCCTGCAGCAGGGGAAGCAGAACCAGCATCGCCACCGCGGCGAATGCAAACGCGGGCCATGGCCAGGTCCCAGGGGAAAGAGGCTGCAAAAGCGACTAAGAAAGGTTGAAGTAAATGGGGCAAAGCATATTTCCGTGTGTATTTAGCATATCTTGTAGCATTATTCACCATGTTTGTTATTGTTTGTGTCTTTGTATACTTCGACAATAGTAATATATAAATGATCTGCATTATGATTACCCGATAAAGAAAATACTGCAAACCGGACAAACAAGACCCGTGATGTGATGCTGCTTTGTGTCTGCCGATGTCGACCAAACAATCAGCGGCATTAGCATCCTTCGCACTCAGCCATTGTTTCGTATTAGTGATTGCTGCTCAATAGTCTGGATATGTTACGATAATCGCCAACTGGTCGCGCATCTGTTCGTCGTTACCCCCTCTGGATCGATGAGCTAAGTGAGAGCGCTTCCCGAGTCTCCGCGACAGCCTCAACTGCAGCTCTCCTGGGATCGCCGCGCACGAGAATCTCCAAGCCAAGATGTTCACCTTTACCCCCCTTCTCGGCGCGCAGTCTGCGTCATCGAAGGCTTCACAATCGATTCTCGAGCTTGATGGAGGAATCAAGATTCTTGTGGACGTCGGTTGGGATGACACCTTTGATCCTCTCGACCTGCAGGAACTTGAAAAGTGAGCTACCACTGCAGTCCTGTATGTCTAACGGAGGAGTCAGTCTTCTAATAAGATAATGATAGACATGTTCCGACCCTGTCGCTCATTCTTCTAACCCACGCTACACCCGCTCATATCGGTGCCTTTGCCCATTGCTGCAAGACCTTCCCTCTCTTCACGCAAATCCCCGTCTACGCTACGAGTCCCGTCATTGCGCTCGGTCGCACGTTGCTACAGGATTTATACGCCTCTTCTCCGCTAGCCGCAACATTTCTACCCAAAGCCTCGATCTCCGAGCCCGGCGCTTCTACGGCCGCAGCATCAGCTGCTGCGTCGGTGGCCGAAGGCGATGAAAGCGCCGAAGCTACTCATGCCGGGCGCATCCTCCTCCAACCTCCTACCGCCGAAGAAATCGCCCGGTACTTCTCTTTGATACACCCTTTGAAATACTCACAACCACACCAACCGCTTCCGTCACCATTCTCCCCGCCCCTGAACGGCCTTACGCTGACTGCATACAACGCTGGACATACCGTTGGTGGTACGATATGGCATGTACAACATGGCATGGAGTCAATTGTCTATGCGGTCGACTGGAACCAAGCTCGAGAGAGCGTCGTCGCAGGCGCTGCCTGGTTTGGAGGTTCCGGTGCTAGTGGAACGGAGGTCATTGAGCAGCTGCGCAAACCTACGGCGCTGGTATGCAGCACCAGGGGAGGCGAACGGTTTGCATTGCCCGGAGGCAGGAAGAAACGGGATGACTTGCTGCTGGACATGATTCGGAGCACCATCGCCAAGGGTGGTACAGTGTTGATTCCTACGGATACTAGCGCTCGTGTGCTGGAGCTGGCTTATGCACTGGAACATGCCTGGCGCGATGCGGCAGGCTCTGGCCAGGGTGACGATATACTGAAAGGAGCCGGACTGTACCTGGCCGGCCGCAAAGCTAATACTACGATGCGACTGGCAAGGAGTATGCTGGAGTGGATGGACGAGAACATCGTGCGAGAGTTTGAGGCGGCTGAGGGTGTGGATGCAGCGACTGGTCAGTCAAATACAGAAGGCCAACGTGCAGGTCAGAATCAGGGCAAGGCAGAAGGGAAGGGCGTGGGGCCTTTTACATTCAAACATCTCCGAATCTTGGAACGCAAAAAGCGATTAGAAAAGATTCTGTCCGACCAGAAGCCCAAGGTCATCCTGGCTTCCGATACGTCGCTGGATTGGGGATTCGCAAAGGATTCTCTTCGTTTGGTGGCGGAAGGTGCCAACAACCTGCTGCTTTTGACGGAGCCTTTGCATAAGGAGAGGATTACGGAGGGCCAGGAAAGCACCCACAGGAAGACGCTCGGCAGTATGATCTGGCAGTGGTATGAAGAACGGAAGGATGGCGTCGCTCTGGAAAAGGCATCGGATGGCGAGATGCTGGAACAGGTGCACAGCGGAGGCCGGGACCTCTCCTGGACGGATGTGCGACGTGCGCCTTTGGACGCAGGCGAGCAGTTGCTCTACCAGCAGTATCTGGCCACGAAACGACAACTTCAAGATACCTCACAAGCAAGAGGACAAGAAAATCTTGACAATGCCGCCGACGCCCTCGATGACCGGTCCAGCTCTACATCAGAAGACTCGGAGACGGAACAGCAGGGTCGCGTCCTGAACTTCTCGACCTCCTTAGCACACTCCAACCGAAACAAGCTCGGCCTCAGCGATGAAGACCTTGGCGTCAACATTCTTCTACGACGCAAGAATGTCTACGACTACGATGTACGAGGCAAGAAAGGTCGCGAGCGCATGTTCCCGTATGTGGCACCGCGGAAGAAGGGGGACGAGTATGGCGAGTTCATCCGGCCTGAGGAGTACCTCCGTGCCGAGGAACGTGAGGAGGCCGACATGCAGCAGCGCCGGACTGACTCCCAGACCAAGCTGGGGCAGAAACGTCGCTGGGACGAAACAGCGCCCCACGGACGTCGACTGTCGGGCAGTGGCGCCAAACGGCAAGCGCTTGGCGATGCGCAGAAACGGGATGTCAGCACTGCTGACGAACTGAGCCTCGCCGAAGACGGCGAAGTGGATGCCGCGGTATCCTCAGAGGATGAGGTGGAAGGACAGAGCTTCGAAGGGCCAGCGAAGGCAATATATGAAAAGGCTACACTGACAATCAATGCCCGGCTGGCATACGTGGACTTTACAGGACTACACGACAAGCGCAGTCTGGAGATGCTCATCCCACTCATCCAGCCCCGGAAGCTGATCCTGGTTGGTGGCATGAAACAGGAGACGACCGCGTTGGCGACCGAATGCCAGAAGCTCCTGGCAGCCAAATCCGGAATGGATGTTTCGGCCGCGGATTCGGCAGTCATCTTCACGCCAGTCAACGGCGAAGTCGTTGACGCCAGCGTCGACACGAACGCATGGATGGTCAAGTTGAGCAACAACCTGGTCCGGCGTTTGAAGTGGCAGCACGTACGCAGCCTGGGCGTGGTTACGCTGACGGCGCAGTTGCGGGGGCCGGAACAAGCCGTCCTGGAGGATTCTACAGAAGAGAACCCCAGCAAGAAGCCGAAACTGTTGGAGGAGGAGAAGAAGGACGAAGGAGGTAGCACCGAGGTTGCGACGAACGCACCATCAGAGGGGGCCAAACCATCAGCCGACAAGTCCGAGGTATACCCACTGCTGGATGTGCTGCCGGTCAACATGGCGGCGGGGACGCGGTCCATGACCCGGCCGCTCCATGTGGGCGACCTGCGGCTGGCAGATTTGCGCAAGATCATGCAAGGGGCTGGACATACGGCAGAATTCAGGGGCGAGGGAACGCTCCTTATCGATGGGATGGTGGCAGTGCGGAAGTCGGCGACGGGGCGGATTGAGATTGAAGCATCCGCGCAGTCTGCGGCGTCGACGAACCTAGGACGAGGAGGAGGGAGTTTCTTGGCTGTGAAGCAGAAGATTTATGAAGGATTGGCTGTTGTGTCGGGGAGTTAGGTGCTGCCAGAACCGGTTCGTCTGATGTTGGATTATGCCAACCCAGTAGATTAAAACAAGACATAAAATATCCGTTTACCCTCTATACCTATGAGATGTACTCCGTAGTATGCATGCCATGACTTTGGCCCGTCAGCCGAATCCTCCGAATAGCACTGTGTAATTCGCCCCATTAGCTGAGCGTGCAGGTAGTATATACTACTGTAAGTCAGCATTATAACTCAATGGCACTTGTCACATCATTGTAGTGGTATAGTAGTTGATCATGAAATCGTGCACTAATACACATCTTCTATCTACTATAAGTATACTATAAATGGACATGTCTTAGTCCCGTCAAGCCACATTCTTGACTACTGTACTACAGAGTATGTTACTTACCCCCTTTTCCTGCCCCAGATCCCGAAATTGAATCAATAGTCGCGGGAGGGTGTTTCTGGAAGGGCTAGAACTATGATCTAGGGAAGGGCCAGGCCAGGAGGCGGGAACTAGTTGTGTCAGATGGTGATAGTGTGTAGTTTTGTGTAGGAGTCCAGATTGTAGGAGTAGATATTTTTGGTAGATGGTATATGGTATATACATAGGTGGGTAGGGTTTTGGTGTAAGTGAATCAGGGGGAGTATTATTATTATTAGTCTAGAGTTGGTGTGGTGGTCGGTTTAGTATACTTCGTACTAGTAGCTATTGAACAGGTCCCTGTATATGTTGGAAATAGTATTAGTCAAGTGACTACTTTCAGCCTGAGGTATCTATCCATCTACCCAGTAACTAAGTGTCTAGTGAGATTAATTACTCACAATGAGATCAATCTGTCTCAGATGTCAGCTTTCCAATCCCTTAGCAATTGGAAGTGGAACCTGCCATTCCTTGATTGCGAGCAGCGAGCGATACTTGTCTTACAGGTACACAGCAAGTACTCCGTCAACTTTGTTTGTTAAAACAACCAGATCGTGATCCCAACCAAACCTACAGTAGTAATCAATCCATCCATCCATCCGGGAATATCCATCAAGGCAACAATAAACGAGGAGAAGAAGAAGAGGCAAGCAGGGTTCCCCTCATCACGGCGGCATTCTCTCGGATCCGTCGGATAATCTCATCCATTCCATTTCCCCCCACCACAACCACACTCACCCACCCACCACTTACAATAGTACCTCGAAAGACCATTATCCAGAGCACCAACCACCAAAGCAACAAGTCATAGACAGACAATAGACGAAGTACTACTACTACTACTTACTAGGAGGAGGGGTAAATTGTGAAACACATCCAAAACACACCTACCTAAACCCCCACTCAGCATCAGCACCATCCAGCAGTTGGTGACACCCACCACGTCAACCATCAAACATACACACTCTCATTGGATGAATAAAGCACAATGGGTTGAACAAACCATGACATACGTAAACGTCCATTGACTGGTGGTGGAGTACGGCCCAAAAATCAATCGAAACGGGAATCGATCTTTGAATCTTGAATGGACAATGCGGCGGATCCGCGGTTGACCAATGGGATGTGGGGGAATCCATGAAAGGATAAGGTTGGCGTAGTGGCCAATCATATTGAAGAAATGGGGGGGTAGGGCAGGGCAGTTTTACCGCTGGTGTTCATCGTTGCTTGGTTGGGTTCTTCAGCGGTTAGGAAGTGTTCACTTAATGTTATGTGTGCGTGGTAGGATTATTATCATTGTTTACAGAGGAATAATATTCCATTCTGTGAAAGTGCAAGTTGAATGGCTGCCTAACTGGCCAATCACTCTTTTTTTTGTCTGTGTCTGTCGTGTTCTTCGGTATATTTGGTACTTACGTATTGCGCCACTTTCTTTCTTTTTCCATTTTCCATTTTCTATTTTCTCTTCCCGTTTTCTTTTTTGCCTCGTAGGTGACTAACCAACTAACCAACCAACCAACCGCGGAATTGAAGAACCCAATTCACACACAACCACCTACTATACTCTGTAGTACAACGCTGTATTTACGGATCGAGAGAGAGAGCGTGTGTGCGTGGTAAGAACCGGCACATGGGAGGATGAGAATCCCGCCCAAGTTGCCTCCTACTGTACCGTAGTATGTTCACCCATCATCGTGTGGGATACTCTACACAGTAACTAATCCAGTTTAAAATCATCCTTGTATTTCTACATTAATAATTCTAACCACACAGAAGAATCATGCACAGTACGATAGTGGGCTGTTTAGTTTACCACAGCATGTGTCATCCTCAATATCCTTGTCGGGCACACACACACACCCCTCCTCCCCTCCCCTCTCAGCCGAGCGACAGCAAGAAAAAGAAAGTCTGAAACACCCAATTCATCGGTGAGAAAGAAAGAAGAAAGGGTGTGGGTCCCGGGATCCAGCCCAATCGATGAAATCTGTCTGAACTGGGGCTGGGAAAAATGGAAATGGAAGAGGCGCCTGCCCACCGGCCGGCTGGCCGCCCATTCAGTTTGCGATTCGGGGCCCCACTTTTGGATGGAGTCTTCAAGGGGGATCCACTGTGGCTGATTTTTGCCTGTCCACGGAGTAGTTACGTAGGTGCTGTGTTCCTCTACAGGTTATTTGGTAAGTAGGTGGGAGAGGAAGGGAGGGGTCACTTTGTGAGTCACTTGTGTGTGTTTGCCTGGAGGGAAGTTGTGTGTATGTAGAGTACGGTGAATTCGGAAGTAAAAAGTAGGTGTGAATAGTTCCTGCATTAAGCTATTAAACTATTGATTTTCTTGTTCATTCTGTAGGTTTGTTTGGAATTAGGGTATTTGATCTGTCAGATTGAGGGTGTACATGTATAGTATGTAGGTTGTGGGTTGTCAGAACTTTGAATGGGGAATGTTAGTATTCTTGAATCTGGAGAAGATTATTCGATGTGTGTAATTGTAGGGATGATGGAGGGATTAGGGGGGTGTGACAGAGTGGTTTGTTAGTTGGTTGGTTGGTTGTATTCCTTCTGGAGGAGTAATATTGATCTTGTGAGTGGTAAGTGGTAAGTCAATTAATTGAGGGGACAGTTACACCGATTATACTTCTGACAGGTCAGACATTGATTTCAATGTCAATTATTGATCAAAGGACTTCGTATAGGTATTTCTGAGGTATACCACTTCTCCATAGAAGAAAATAGTAGAAGGTTGTCTCGAGTAGAAGGTTGTCTAGAGTAAGGACGAAAGTTGTTTGTTGATGATTTTTTGATTTTCTTCTATCGAAGCAAGTCTATAGGCATAATTCATGTGATCTCAAATCACTACATACATAACCGCATAGCACAGCAAGCGAAATCCACCCAGAAGGTGTAGGTGTGATTCACGAAAGAGAGAGTGTGTTGTGTTTGTTCTGCTTTGTCTTGTGCGCAACTCATCCAGGAGGCAGATCAAGTCAATCTATACATGAGAACTTTCAAAACCAAAACCCATCCGACCCATGGTATATTCCAAAAAAGAAAAACTCCATTCCATCCATCTCTTGTTAGATCCCAATTGATTGATTGCTTGAGGGATCCGTTTAACCCAGAGTAAGAGTGAACTGAGTGTCAATGGGGCAGCCGTGAGTAGCCTCGTTGTCATCGGGCTGGAGGTAGGCCTCAGCGCACTCAGTGTCACCAGCCTCGCAGTTGACAGAAGGGCAGTTGTCACCCTCCTCGGAAGGAGTGACGGAGAAACCGTACTTGGTGAAAGCAGAGTCACTGCCGAGGTTGATGCAGGACATGTCCCAGTAGATGGTGTCACCATCCTGAGTGTACTCGAACTGGAGGACATCGGACTGGCTCTCAGTGGTGGACAGCTTGATGGAGATACCACCACCGTTGTCGTTGGATTGCCAGGACTCGGAGTAGCTACCACCGCCCGCAGAAAGGGTATGCATGTTACTGACTCTATCAGAAACAGACCACGCGTAGACGGTAGTGTTGCTCATGTTGTTGGAGATGGAGACGCCGCCGGAGCCAGAAGAGGTACCGTTGCGACGAACCATGTTGTTGCTGAAGGAGTGGGGAAGAGCCGTGGCAGCGGTGGCCAGAGCGGCAGTGAGGATGGTCTTGAAGAACATTTCGATTGTTGTAGTGGAAGAAAAGAGATTGACTCGAAAAGATGAGATTTTTGGTTTTGTTGTCAAAGATTTGACTTGTTGTGATTGTTCAGAAGAACGAAGTAGTTGGTAAAAGTCCAAAAGAGAGAGGACTAAAAGGAAGGCAGACTAGTCTGATCGACAGACTAATATCAGATGTATCAAAAAGAGAGAGAGAATGACAGGTCAGACAAAGCTGATCAAGAGAGTGTCAGTGGATTTGCTGATGGATTGAAGAGGAAGCAAAAGGTGCAGCGAGATGCATCCTTATATAGCTTTTTGCGGCGGCAAGGCATCCAACCGTCGGCGAAGAGATCGGCTAGTGGTCACCACTACTTTTGCTGCTGTTCCTGGCCGTTTCAACGAATCGCCGCCAGAGGCGCAGGGGTAAAAAGTTTGTTCGACTTTGGGGTCCACATGGCCACTGACGTGGATTGGATTGTCCCTGGCGAGCCATGAATTGCATTTTGGTTTTGATTTTGATTTTTTTTTCTTTTTGCCTTTTCGCTGATTTCCAAGTTGTGCTGGAAGTTGGGCGCAGGTGGAGAACAAGTTCCTGGAGACGCCACGAGACGGAATCCACTGCCATCTGCCATACGCAGATTCCGTTCAACTACTCCGTAGGTAGTTAGTTGATGGAGCATTGTGGTAGTGGTGGTGTGGGTGCTGACAGCGCCTGCAGTGGGTGTTGTACACTCTACAGTACTACAGAGTATACTGCTGGAATACACTCATCACTACCTACTGACTAGTACTACCTTGTCCCTTGTCCACTCACTAAGTATATTCACCCATCTAGACCTCGATCCATCCACTAGATACATAATAGATACTTGTCTAGAATCTCTCACTTCTTTCAAATCCATGCTAATCCCGACCCTAATATTAACAATGGAATCTCAGCCATAATACGGAGTCAAGTACTAACTAATTCATATTGATCCCAAAAATAGGCACTCAATAATACTCCCCTTTCCCCCCTAACCACACCAGCATGGCAGCTACCTACCGACCTACCGACCCAAC